ATTTGTGCCCTAACATGGACACTTGTCGACTGACGCTATTTGATGTCCCTTTTCTCCTATTCTTTTGTATTTACACATCAGTCCCTGTTAGTCCTAGCCCCTGGAACACGTGCAAGTGTTAAAATGTAAGGAAGGGTAAAGAGAAAGGAAGTGTATCTGCGTAAATAGGCATAAAAGATGGGCATCAAAAATAGCAGAAAACTGAAGTAAGTAGTAGAAGGCGAGTGAGAACAAAATGAATGATGAGAATGAGTGTTCCCGATTCCTAAACCATTCTCTTTTTCAGCGAGTTATAACAAAAAAGTCTGTTTTATTCATTTTATCAAATGATTTTAGATTAGTTTTTTGGTGGTAGAAAGCTCTCGAAGATTGTACACGAGAAAAGTGTCGTCTAAAGAATGGGCGGCGTGACGCCACTCAATGGCGACGTTGCTGAGTGACGAGTTTTGTAAAAGGGAGGGTCTCACCGGAATCCTCTGTACTCAGTGTCATATGGAAGCGTTGCGAATGCTCGAGGCAATGGTGAACGGCTCGTCACCACCGGTGACTGATCGCAGCTCCATGTGCTACTTTGTCACATGATACTCATGTTGGTCGATTGTTCTACCACCACGGTATCAAAAACAACAGCAAAGTCTTCCCGTGTCATTTGCATTTAGTGTGCTGTGTGGGTACTACTAAAGCTAATCGCTTCCAGTGCGGATGAATATGGGGCCACTTATACCGCCAGTGGCATAATATCCAAATACGCCGAAATCTGTAACTTCCACTATCTCTTATCTCTCGCCTTGTCTCGCGTCTGAGTCCGTACTCCCCCCATGCGCCTCCTTGCTGACTCATCCGCACTGGTCGATCCATACGAACATCTGTTGAGCAGTGGTTGCGTATTAGTTATCTTGTTAGGCAGGCGATCGATAAACCAACTAATTGATACGACCCACGGCACAAGGCGGAAATTTATTCGTAGATGGATAGAGGGCTCAATAAATGCAAAGACACAACTCATAACAGAGCAATCTTCGTTTAAAAGAGGATTAGCTAATTAAGAGAAGAGTAAGTTTTAGACCACCTTTAGTCCCCAGTTCTACAATTGTATACTCTCTGATTTCCTTGCCCATCAGCCACTAGACAAATCGGTAGAGCAAAATGATGAAAACGCACAAGCAATGGTTGACTTTCCCGCACTGCTCTAGTAAGCACTACATGAATGCAAAAGAGGGAACGGGACGATAAAACACTCTGGTGTGGCAAGATAAACAAAGTGCTAAGTTTGCAACAAACTATATCGAATCTCCCCCTCTTCCTCTCCTTCGTTCCCCAAAATGTAAGCTATATAGCCACCGGGGAAGCAGAAGCTAGACCTGCATGCTTGACTCCAACCAGAGACTTCAAAAGAGTCTTTTTTTTCTTTCACAATAGGTAATCACTTTCTCATAATCTCCATTGGTGTTTGCGGTTACTTTACAGACATTTTCACCATACAGTGATACCCGAGTCGCAAAAAATGAGTAGTGTTAATAGAAGGGATCACATGATATCACTGTAACTACTACAGATCGTGAAGAGTACTGTGTAGAAAGGCAAATAAGTAGAATTTAGGTGTTGCTGTAAGATTCACCTATTCTAAGCGGTCATCGTCGCTAGAATAAAATTTGCCGAAATCCACCACGGAGCTCCCTTAGCCGTTGGAAGCAAATAAGGGTGCGTTTGTATCACATTGTGACGCGACTTTATATGCATGCTATCAATTTACTGAATATTTGTTTTTTGGCAATGTTAAATTTTGAATTGCCATTCTTGACGAAGAGGGCAACCCGTTCGCAAGTGCGTTATTTGGTTTTCCGTATATTCTCATGACTGTGATGTGCTCTCTGCTTCATCCCATAAGGCGTACGTCCTGATCATGGTCATTCGATACACTTCAAATTACGTGACAACTTAAATTTACATGAGAACAATCCTGTCCAAATGCCATTAAAGCATGCCAGACTCCCCCATTTCTATCCATAAAAGATAAGAATCCTTTTCCATTTCCATGAAACTATCAACAGGAAATACTGTTCAGCTATGTCGCTATACTGCAACAAGTGACACCACGCGACACGTGCCGCCAATCGATTCACAGACGTGTCAGGTGATGGGAGGAATTGATTCTCACAACCGGCCGCCAGATATGCTGAACTGCGAGTTCCAATGCTTTCCACTACTTCTCGCACTTCTGCGCATTGTTGTCAAACCCATTATCCAGTTCATCATCAACGCCCCCCTGCCGCTTCGATTCGTCCTAACCACCAATCTACTTCTCGTCCCCCACTTCCACCGCCTTTCTCTCCCTCTCCATCTGCCCGTCACTCCCAACCTCCCAATCCGCCGTTCTGGAGACATCAGAAGACCAAAACAAGTAGAACAGATAGAAGTCGTAGTGATTAGGGGAAAGTTATGCTACCGCTATCTCCTCCTTCTCCCAATTCTACCCATTCTGCTTTCCCTCCTCATCCATGCCCATTCAACTTCTCAATATTGGCTCAACTTTTAGTGTAGTCATTTCGACAGTTGTAGGGAACATTATGAGGAGCCACCTTGCGCAAATCGTTTAGTTGATAGGCATATTGCTTTCAACTAAGTCAATCACTATATGTTTTTTAGCAGTTGTATGGCCAAGTAGGTAAGCAAGATGTAGGGTAGGTGAATGAATGAATCCACGAATGGATGGAAGGAGAACGAAGCAAATGACGTAGTAAACAGAACCTCCAACTAAGTCCGTTGCTACATGCTTCATTCAGTCGTCTTGTCCTATCTCTTCTCTTCCTTAACCCTTCCTCTCCTTCTCCTTCTTTAGTTACACAGTTATGTTACTTCGCCTCCACGGGAAGGGTTCAATCACCACCGATGTTCTCCTTGGTCAGAGGCGACTATTAACCAAGAAAAAGAATTAGGAACACTCATCAGGAACTTACATTTGCTAGCTGCATAGTAATGTTTAGGTGTGAGTGGCCAATTCCTCCAACCCATTTATTCCCCCCACACTGCACCTACTGTGCCGCACTCGCCGCTTATGCCTCCCTTACGTGCATTAGCAACTACCAACTCACCATCAAAAGTAGTGGCAGTAGTCGTAGTAACTTATTTTACCTTGCCCAACATAATTGTTAGTTACTCAGCGCACCTTGGAAGCAATCGTTTACGCTACTCTAGACCTTGCTTGACTTGACCACACTAGATGAGGAGCCTGAGCTAGATTATGATAACCAATAGTAGGTGACTGTTCAATTTTTTGTCATCTTGCACGGGCACTCCAGTTGCATGCCCTGCGGATGGCTTCCCTTGCTAGGCAAGTGATTTCAAAAGCAAAACTACTTGTGAGATGATGCTACATATGTCTACAATGTCCTCTACAATTTGATGTTCCATGTAAATCAGATCACAACGCTTCGGTCTTCTTTGGAACACAAGCTCGCATTCGGGATAGACAGAGGCGGTTCTTCAAACAAGCTTGAATGCGCTTCATCCACCCTCGCCCTCTTCTTCTCCTTACCTTCGTCATTCTTTCCTCCCCTTCCTCCCTTACCTCCGCCCTCACGCAATTGTTTATAAATCAACATTCAGTGTCAGGCTCTCATGGGGCTGATAACGACTCCCTCTGTCGAGGAGGATGAAGTGTAAGTGGACATGGCGCGTGATCTCGCAGGTATTTCCAGCAAACAGCGTAGATAATGATAAGGGTGATCCAAACAAAACAGAGAAGTACTTCAGGGTTCCAGGTGATGCGGTGAAGGGAGACTGAGGTAGGCTCGGTCAACTCGATGATAGCGCTCATCACGGTGGTCAATTTCTGCGAATTGTGAATGCCTGTGTTGTCCGCGGATTCCAACCTGTCACGTGACAGCAGACATATGAAATTTCCTGCCCACCTTGTACTTTATGAAGAATAGTTTGTCGATCTATACTGCTACACTTCACAAAGCCAAATTCGCTGATATCATGCCTTACAATCCACTGCTCGATTGTGCTCAAATGGGTTTGTGTTAACAGGGCCGTCATTTGCCCTCAGAACAATGGTGGAAATTGGTTACTCACGTGTTTCCCACCACTGGCATTGGCATCGATATCGTTGTTGATGTTCAGAGAGTGGAATGTTGGAGCCCCGAATACATCAGTTGCACGTAGCACAGGTGGTGTGCTGTTGAGCAAGTTGTGGTATCATCTGCTCCAGTGTTGTTCAACACACGTGGTCGTGAGCGGCAGTTGGGAGCGGAGGAAGAGGACACAGAGAATGGGGCTGGAAGAAGAGGACGGCAATGTTTTATGCGCTTCAAGCGCGCGTGAGGAGCCGCCTCCATCTTTCCCGACTCCGAGCACGCAGTCGAGAGGAGGCTGAATGCGTTGCGAAATGGAACTGTCATGGAAGATGTACTTCAGTATCTGAAGAAATTGCCCTTTCTCTCCCATCACAATGTCTTACAAATGCCTATTTTACTACCGAACGCCGTCATTCACAAAATAATTGCAAAATTCGTACGAAATCTCTTTATTTGACTGATTTGATAGGATCGAGAAGGGATGGTATGGTAGGCTATGTGCTAACTCCATGCAATTGGTGTAAGTAGTGTGTGGTCAGCCTAAGCAAGGGGTCGGTGAGATAGTTAATGCTCTCCTATACATCTATATTTACTGACTTCTTGAGTATCAAAAAGTATTTTTTTTAAGGGTTTCCTTATTTATGGCCTCAAATAAAATCCACAAACCTACTTCAAGCTGCTATCAAAACGATTTTTTCATCGTGAAAGTTGATATACCACCTTCTTTTCTTCCGCTTTTGCATTTATCAAATCGACTACATCCAACTGTCCTAGTGCACATACTTTGGCCTAAATTTATAGCTAATTTGGTGTAAGGAATAGTGCTAGCATGGGATGTCCTTGGTAGCACTCCACCGATCATCCCTCTGTCTAAGAGATCGTTGACAGTACCATTGAAACGGGTACTGGAGGGTGTATTTTTAAAGCGAACTGAAATTAACTTTGAAGACCAACATCGTGAAAGTATACTCAACTTTGGACACTTCTCCGGGCAATGGGAGACCACTGAACACTGCAACAGTACCCCAAAGTTCATCCTTTTTGCTAGGCGAGTAAATTTACACCCCGAGCTCTATGTCATTTACTCTAAAAGTCTCAAAATTTGTTTAGATTTTCATAAATTGCTAAAATTACGGATGTGGTTCATCTACCAGGCAACCAAATTAATAAGATGTTCAAATCAACTAAATGCGGTAAGAAATGCATCAAAACTAGTAGCAGCTTGCCATGTCAGAGAACAGTCAAGCCAGCCACAGTTGAGACTCAGTTTTCGGAGGACAAATAAATAAAATGCGTAGCCAAGTAGATTTACTACAGCTATACATAACCATAAATATTGGCAATGCCCTCAAATTAACTTTGTGCCAAACGTAAGACTGCTTCAATTTTTCTACTCAGCACGATTTTTCCAAACAACATCATTTTACTGAATAAATTAACAGGTTCTGACGGATGGTTTCATCTTGCCTAACAAATTATGGACAGGTTTATTTTCTATTTTGAACACCTAAATATTATAAGCAAGATTGATTTCAATGCATTTTGATTTATTCCAGCTTTGAATGCATTTGTATGCAAGAGCTCAAACTACGGAAAGCTTGCCACCAAGTCCCATCCAATCGCATCAGTTGGCGCATAACGTAGAAACAAGCCGCGCCTTCTAATTGGCTTTTGATGTTACGTGCGAGAACCATACACCCGAGTGCACCAATAAAGAGACGAATCAGACTGAATTGTAATGCTAACTAGAATCGTAGCGAACATATAACCCTCTTGGAGGTGACCGTACATTAGAAACAACTGAAAGACACTTGTTTTATTAACAAGAAAGCCACATGTTACTTTGGTATTCCATTGACATGAATAGTGAAATAAAATGGGCAACAGTTCTGATGCAGCAGACAT